AAATTCATTTTAAAATTCTATTATAGCTACTAAATCCAACTACACAAGTAACTAAGGACAAAAATGGTTCCAGAAAAACATAACATACAAAAATCTGTTCATTAGTTTCCAGGGTTGCACATTTTAATCCAAATTCCGCAAGATGTAGCTCTTAAGAGCCAATAGCAAGTTAAAGAGAATTATATGCTAGCACGGATTTCAGTTTTCCACTTAGGCAAATACAGAGACCTAAAATTACCTCCTCTTCTGGTTCATCCAAATTAACCCAGCGTTGTTTCTTTTCATCCCAAACAATCTGCAAGGAAATCACAGTTGAAGGTTAGGTGTCCAACTTATGCTTATTCATCTCAGAATAGGCATAATTTTGAAAGTTTTTCACATAATAACATTTTCCTACTAGTTGTTCAAACAACACTCATCTACCATCCAGAAAAACAGTTGGAGCAAATTAAAATGTATAGACATAATTGATTTAGAGGCCTTACTGATTTATTCTTGTCATCTGGAAGGTAAGCTTCATTCTTTCCTTTTCCCATCAGCCAGCGAAACCAGGTTGACCCAGTCTAAGAAGAAATATGTCTAGTCAATTCTCGCAGCATTTTGCTTACAGCAAATTCAAAGAAAGAATCACATAATAGTTCATTTTCTTTTAAATTCTTTTGTTCTTAAAATCAGTTTTACCTTTCTAGATGGTGGCTCATTCTTTTTTTCCGTTTTAGTCTCTTTCCTTTCAGGAATAGATGGAGGAGGAGAGGGCTGTTTTGCTGCAGAGTTGGATCTCTCTCGTCCCACAGAATGGACAGAGGACTCTGAAGTGGTCCGAGATCTTCGCCCGTAGCCCTGCATTACAAACACACAGAAGAGTACAAAGTCTTCACTGCTGGAGGGAATGGATTATGTCTCATTTTGCTAAATAAATTCCTTTGAAAACTTAGGACCAGACACAAAGGCACCAGCAGAAAGGGAAACGGATAAAAACAGAGACTTAGTGAAAGAAACAGCCTGCTCACAGTACACCCTAGGTGCTGAGGACTGAGATGCACATCTGGATCTTTGCCCCAGTGCCTAGCTAGATATAAAGCAGCACAGGCTTAATAAGCAAGTAGCTAAGGCTCTGTCGTGGAATCTTGCTCACAAAGACCATTTCAAAATGCTCCAAGACACTTGGTGCTTGCAAAGACCAACCATGATGCTAACAGCAGAAGAAATGTATGAAATAAGGATACCATGCCAGCCATTCTGCCATAGAAATCCTCTTCTCTCTGATCTGGGAAAGTATTTCTTGATGGAGATGCCGGGGCAGTTCTCTGCATGCCTTAAAAAATAAAATTAGATGATGTTAATGAAAGCATTTTAGTGCATTTTTTTCACTAGGTATAAGTTTTGTGCTACAAAGAACTTGAGCTTTTAAAGGACACACACTGAAGCTGCTGAGATTTTTGTTACTGGATGAGTAATTAGGTTTGTTCTAAATACAGGTCACAGTAAGACGACAGATTCAACTACTGGTACGGAGCAGTATAGGTTTCTTCACATGTCTTACACAGCTCTCCCCATTTTAGTATGCCTGCCTTCATGTGTGAGAATTAAAACTCATCAAGGGCTTTGAAGCTGATGTCCAGAGGCAGAAATCCCTGAGACTCCAGTCACAGACTTTACAAACAGAGCTGCCAATCCCAGTTTATTCAGTGATTCCATGAAACAGGAAGTTACCTGCTGAGGCTAAAACATGATCTGGTGATTGACATCTCTTTTAAGCTATGCTCAATATGCAAGATTAATACTTGTTTAAACATTTCTTTAACCACACATTTTATTTAAGTTTCATTACCCAATACTTGATCTGCCCTTTTTTTTTTTTTTACTTTCATTACCCAATACTTCATCTGCCTTTTCTTTTTAAATACTAAGATATTTTGCATTATCCCCCAAATATTTTACTTCCCTTAAAAAGGAAGAAAAGGGATTTATAGTGGTGCCAGACCTGTTTCCTGGTTTGCAGGCTCTTCTGAACGTGGTTCAGTCTCTTGTGGTGGCCCTCCCGGAGGTACTGTCGACCCTACGTAGAGTGGTGATGGTTCAGCTCCGTACTGACTCGGAAATCCTGCAGGTGCAAAGCCGGGTCCTGGACCAACAGCCGGAGGACCCACCGAATAGAACGGGACACTTCGAACGGCTTCCTGGTCAGCAGGAGGAATCGCAGCAGCCGACCCATCAAGGATGGTCTGAGGTGCTGCAGCACAAAAGAATTAGGAGTATTAATTAAGTGAAAGCTCCACAGCACAAACCCTTGCTTCTGCAAGTAACACACAAGAGTGAAACCTCACTGTTTCCATGACCCTCTTAAGAGGTTTCTAATACTAGAAACCCAAATGTTTTCTTCTTTGTCATGAGGAAGGATAGGAAACACTAACCTGAAGGCATCAGCTGCACACTTTGCATCTGTTGTGCCATATTGGGCAATAAGGATGCTAACAAAGCATTTTCAGTACCAGGACCCATGTCATGGCCGACTCCTGCTCCATCACACTGACTGGCATGGTCTAATTCAGAGCTTGGTGTGCTACAGGCATATTGTTGTGGGGTAGATCTGTCTGCGTTATAAGCTATTGCACCCTCCTGCACAAGAAAGCAAGATCTTGTTAACTCTTTCAGATGTTAAGTTCACAAACCAGGGGAACATTTAGCAAGGGAAATCTTAGAGTGAAAATAGCACAGATAATTTGTTAGTATTTAGTCAAAAAGAGGAAAGAGTTATAAGCCATTTGTCAAGATCAACCAAAACACTCAATGAAAAGTTTTTAACAAGGTTAGTTAAATAGATCAAGCTTTCAAGTTTCTAATGGATCTTTGTAAAGAAAGAATACACCTTCCCTTCTACTTTTTTACAATTTATCTGCACTAATCACATACAACTTTTTTTTTCCCCCCAGCAAACAGATCCTTTGCTTATAACTGGAATTATTATAACTTAATAAGCCTCCCAATTCTCTTTGCACTAAGTGATAAAAAAAGTCTCTCATACAAGGTAACCATCCTTTAATTATTCTGCAAGGAATTTTAGGGCACTAAAATATGGTACACTCACTTGATTTAGATCATAACATTTGTGTTTTATGATCTTATGATATATTCACCTCATGTTTCTATAGTTTAAAACATATTTTAAAAATTAACATTGACATTAAACCTTAAAAGGTAATATTTCATTGTGGCATGTACATTCTGTACCTTGATCTGTCCATCCACATGTCGAAGCCTTACTAACCATGAAGGTTCAATAAAGGATTCTTGTTCTGGTTTCTCTTTTATCTGTGGGTCAAATAGGCGTAGCTGTGATGACATCTAGAAGAAAGAATCATTGCAAAGATTAACAGGCAACTTAAAGAAATACTTTAAAAAGGCAACTTTAGTCAGAACTTAAAATCTACAATATGAAGCTACAAACACTGAGTTCTGGGGAACATTCTTCCATATGTTACCTGGATTAACTGGCCAATAAGTACAGGTGAATAGTAATGTGGATCTTTAAGAACAGTTCTGGAAATGACTTCACAATAATGAAAAGCCTGAGCAGCAAGGCCCATTTCTGCGAGGCGGCAAGCATAGATGAATTTGAAAACCTGCAGAAAGCAAGAAGGTGAAAAAACACGTGATCAGAACATTCCCAGAAATATCAAATAAGAGTTTGTCATTTCAGTCAAAGTTCACATACACCATTATATCTACACCAAGCATGTTTAAAAAACAAAACCAGAACTCTAGTCTCTTTCCCACCACCTCAATCTTCTCTTCCACCCAATATATCCTATGGGAGTAATCTATTTAGTGCAAACAAATCCTGCTTGATTTTTCCTTTGGGATACAGACTTATGACAGCAACGGAAACAAAAATTCTCAAGTTCAGAATGCCCAGAGAAAAATGGAAAAAGGTTGACTCAGTGACAAGCAACAGGAAAAAGCTACTCTGCACAGCATTACCTATGAGAATTCCAGTTTGGAACTGATAAAATATTTTCTATGCTAGACAAAGCACATGCAAGATAAATACCCAGCAAAACCTGACAAAAGTAAAACAAAGCATCTCTTCACCTGGAAATTGGGTAAGTTGCCAGGCTGAGTGCCTAGTGACTGAGCATATTCATAGGCTTCTGTTCTTTGGATGGCTTCATTGGTCGCAAACTTCAAGAAAGGCAAGCTATTGGGGAACGAGGGAAGGAAAAATATTAATTGACATTGAGATGCTATACACTGTCAACAAATACAGATCTGTAAATTTGAAATAAAATGAGAAGCAGCAGAACACACAGCATTCCTCTCTTAGGACAAGGAGAGACATCAGAGAAGTATCTCAAACAACTGTGGCTTAATGCTGATGGCAGAAGCACTGCAACTCAGTCTCAAGCCATTAGGCTTTTATTTTCATATTTTAAAAGTTAAAAACAAAAACACACATGAGAAACACGAGCTAAGCCAAACCTATGATTCGATCCAATCAGGACAAGCTTTGTTGTTTTCCTTGTATAGACCCCAAATCCGACCTGGGCCATAAGGTAACAAAAGTGAGCAGCATCCAGAAGGCCTTTGGAAGCTGTAGAAAAGAAAGAGACAGAAGTCAGGATATTCTCTCTCTCTGTGGCACATCACAATTGTGCGTCCCACATTGTTCTGTCTTTGCATTCAAATGTACCTTTACAATAGGCACAAGCCCACATAGAAGTGTTCTGTTTCACATTTTAAGCAGCAATTGTCCGTTTTTAAAAAAAAGCTGAGCAATTAAGTTTTCAGAAGTTCAACCATCACCCTGTCCATTCCCCAAGAGTTACCAAGAGTGTCTCCCATGGTAGCAATAGTCCTGGATTCCAAGTCCATGTTATTGGTCAAGTTGGATAACACCATTGCTAGATGCGGCCTCCAATCTCCCCATTTCTCATCTCCACAGCACTAAAATTAGAAGAATTACTTAGTCACACCACTGACTGGAGCTCTATATAGGTGTTTCAACCTAAAAAAAGGACTAAAAATTAACTTATCTGGCATTCTAGACCAGATAATCTTTTCACGTACTTTTCAAAAGTACTATTGGGAGCTACACTACTCACCGCAGCACCTACTTAATCTCAGCTGCAGCTTCAACTGGAATCTTACCGTGGATGCAGCTGGCATCCTTCCAGACATGAGCTGGTAAACAGTCTGCAGAGGGTCATTAATTGGGAGACTGTTGGCAAATCTACAGAGACATTATACAGAAAAACAAAAACACAAACGCTGTTGGTAAGCAGTTAAAATCCACTTGAACACAGAGTAGTTTAGTTTTGGAGAAGCAAGTGCAGCTTGAAAATGCTACACTGAAATTGCCCATGGATAATGCTCAGAAGCAAAACAATTAACTAAGTGGATCTGCCACTGACATATGTCAATCCAAGCTAGGAAAAAAAACAGCTCATGATTGTCCCTGTGCCAGCTGACTAGGCTCAGTACATGATTTCACAAGCTGGAAAAGCAGAAAAAGTTTAGCTTGTCTACAGAGAAAATGAACACACTGCTCACACTGCTTCTTCCAAGCAGAAAGAATGAGGGTACCAAAGTTACTTTGCTTTAGCCAAGCCACACGTACACACATTACAAAAAATAAAGAGCAACAGGTGACTTATGTCAACCAAATATACATGTAAAAGTGGTAATTTTTACACGAGTTAAGGATAACTCAATTTTGACATCAATAAAAGCACTGTACCTGGTCATAACTCTTGCATGTGTCCTGCTGTCCATTTTACTGGCAAGTAGCAGAGCATGACCCCATAAACCATGCTTCATGGCTGACTCCAGAGCATCCTGGTTAATACAGAAATTAGTTTACTGAAAAAAGCTTAATGTACAGCTTAAATTAGCTTACACAGTGATTGCTTTATGTTAGTACCTTGCGACTGAATTAAAAATGTTTGCTTGGGTCAAATGGTAGCATATGAATAAAAGCTTTTGTTTAACTTCAAAACTTGAACCAAAATACAACCCGTGTAGAAATGTAAATAGTAGCATAAGCATTTACCTTCTTACGGCCATAAAGGAGCAACTCTCTGAATCTTTCTGTCTCTTTCTCAAGGCTGTCAATTGTGGTTATGAGACTGTCTGTGAGAAATGAGAGCTGGGCTTCGCCAGATTCCTCTTCGACTTGTTCCAAAGCTTCATTAGTGAAATCAATCAGATTTGCTTCATTAGGTGACTTCCCAGGGAGCCACACTGTTTTATGGTCTCGTAGCAAAAGTTCAGCCAGATCTGTTCCCACTACAGTCTACACATGAGAAAAGAAAAAGAAAAATCAAAATAAAACCCCAATCATACTAAGGATATTGGAATTCTATTATTCAATGTTGTCTTCATTTTGTTAGTTTGAGAGCAGTGGGTGAATGCCAGGCCTCTGAGGACCTGAAGGCCAGTGACTCATTTCCCTCTTCTGCCAATCAGCAAACTACTCTCCAAGATAAGACACTACGCATATATTTGTACCTTTTACATAAATACCATTTTATCTATAAAATGTTCTAGGAAAGAAAAATTCAAGCAGTAGGACATACCCCATTCTGCCTGCACAACAGCACAATGAAGTCCCAAAGCAGACTTGCAGACTCTTTATCAATTAGATTTTCATTCTGAAAGCACTGTGTGGCTTTATTTTGTGCAAAATTAATAACATCCACTTTATGGGTGTCATCCCTGGGGGGAACAAAAAAAAGAGGTGTTTAACGAGACAAATAAAACATTCAGATCACCAGTGCAAACAGCATAAGGAACACACAGCTTGAGTATTATTTAAGCAAGTAAAAAGCAACAAGTATTTTGAGTCACTAAAACCTCTAATTTATGGACACTTATAGACATTTTAAAGTTCAATAAAGAAATGAAATCTGAAACCATAAGAGTCATTTAAAATCTCTAAGAACATACTTAGCAAGAGGACCAGGAAATGCTCTCATCTCCTCTTGCTCTGGAGAATGTTGTAACATAGTCTGAAAAACAAATATAAACCATAAGAATTTCTTGTAACTATGAACCCTTAAAAAAAAAGAAAACATAAAGAAAACAGAAAAACACAGACCTGGATCTAACCTATAGTGTAATCAAGGCTATTACTCTTGAACAAAACACATATGGCAACGTGCAAACTGTGGATGGATAAAAAATGTCAAAACCCACTTTGCATAGGAAGTCATTCTGCAGCATCACTTATATGAAAAACAAATTAATGTTTATTACAAAAATCCTCCTCACATCCCCTTATAACTCCCCTGGTGCTGTTCCAGCACTTGTGTAGAAGTACTAGCACAAAAAAAGACACTTTACCTCCATACTGTGTACTTCAACCAGAGCTGGCTGTCCTTCTGAAGGCAGGTTTGGCAGCACTTTTATTAAGTATCCCCCAGGAGCAAACCTAGCACAGATGTGAGGCACTGAAAATTTCTCAGGTGTTGAGGGCCTTAAAGGTGCTGAAGTGGGAAGAAAAGGTCAAGTAAGCAGCAGGAACCTGAGTTGCAACTTTTTTGAACTTAATGATGTATTTATCCTACTCAGTAATCTTCAGTAAATCAAAGATCTTTCGGAGATTTGCAAATACCAAGTTAAAAGCCATAGAATTTCATTCTATGCAGAAAGGGTACAAAATAATAAGGAAAAATCTAAAGTGAAAATGTAATTACTCCCATGACATATAAGTAGCATAGTTCAGAGCCTGTCTAAAGAGACACTTAGAATTGCAAGTATGCAATACTTAGCAAACACTGTCTAGCTACTATTCTGGATATACCCAGATTTCAGCAAGGAATTATCCTCATGCTGAAAATAAACAAAAACTTTGCTCAAAACTACTAAGAACAACGTTTTCTTGTTAACAGGCTCAACGAATACACAAAAGAATCACATATATAACAAAAAAAAACTAATAGAAAGGCAGACTGCTGCGGAGACCCCCTCACACCCACAGTACCCTCCCTGCACGCCCCGCGTTGGTGCAAATACCGTGTTCTACAGCCGACCAGCCGGGTTCGGGTGGGTAGCCGTAATCTGGAAAAGGCTGTTGGCCGTCAAAGTTAGCAGCGTATCCGCCGTACGGATAATCCGCGTGGAGCGACACGGCCTGCGCGGTTTCGTACGCGTTAGCCGTTAGGTCGTGATTACTTCTATACAGCTGGCTCTAAACAGATGATATTAGTAATTGTTAGCAGAGAGTGAAGTTGCGTGAAGCAATACAGCAAACACGACTCAGGAGATTGCAAGGATTTTTTCCTCCTGTTTTTAGATGGTTCTTAAACCAGGCTTACCACATCACTACAAAGGACTTGCACATGGCAAAGCTGCCTAGCAAGTCAGTCAGTATCTCCTAGTGTTCACCCCCTCAGTGTTTTAATTCCTATTTGATCTGTTCACATCCAAATGCATTCAGTTCTCTCACAGAATATCCATGTGCTGTGGGTCAAGGACAGCACTGCGATGTTCAGAGGGAAGTGTTGCTGTATCAGCAGCTATGGATCCAAAGCAGGAGGGTTCTTCACCCTTCTTGATAGAAAATCTGACCCGAGTAAACCCAATAAACACCTAGTTGACTTAAAATGCTACAGATTAATGCCTAAATGACCTCCAGCACTACTTTCAATAGTATTAAAAAACAGAATTCAGACTGAAAAATCACCTAGTCTTCCAACAGACTTAATGTATTAACACGTAAGACTGTGGCTAAAAAGATATTTTTGACCAGCAAAGATAATTTATCTGGATATTCTCTGTATTTTTCAGGTATTTGTATTCATGACATAGTTATATAAATAGCCAGAGGTTAGATTTGGCTTTGCTTTTAAATACAAGATAGTAAGGCACAAATGTTGAGTTAGTTTTCTTGCAGATTGCAGGTGCAGTATTAGCCTTCATGCTTGTGATGAGAAAAATGATGCAACACTCAAAGCCAGACACTGCATCAACTACAGCCAAGCACAGCAAGGGCAAGGTTCTCACAAACAGCAAATGGATTCAGTAGAAGAACATTTCTATTTCTGTATATGTGGCAACTTGCACAACTGAGTGCTGATTTTGGTTAAGGTTCTCTTGACAACTATGACAAATATTAAGTTCAAAACTGTATTAGAAAGCAGTTTTAACTTACAGAGTAAGAGTTGTCAAAATGCATCTTCCCCAAGCTAAAAACAGAAATATTTTTGTATATTTCTAATTTCTCACCCACTCCTATCACAGAGGATTAAAGACCATAAAGATGACAAAGTTATTAATCCTGTGTCTAAGATGAGCTCAACTGACAGACAATACCTGACCTGTCCTTTAGAAACTCACTTGTTGGGAACGAGAGCTAAAACTGCTCTGGCGGCTGTGCACGCTCCGGGAGCTCCGGAGGCTGTGAGCGGAACGCTCACTGTGGACGCTGCGCCTGTCGAACTCGTCGCCGTACGGATCTCTGGGAGGTTCAGCTTCATCATCGAAGCTGCCGGCGAAACGCGGATCGTATTGCCAGTGATCTTCATACTGCTCGAGTCTGAAGAAAAAGAGACAAAGCAGAAAGAGGCACTAGTACCTTAGAGGAAAGCAACTTGGCTGCATACGTATTAAGGGGAAAACTGTAATTTAGGAAACCTCAAAACAGCTTTTAGATTATTTCCTAAACTGAGGTTTTTATTACTGTAAACCAATTGACATTTGCTTGGAAAACATTCCATCATTCCCTGAGTGTTCTAGGAAAACCCAAAGCATGTTTAACCAGTCTGAAAACAAGCCCTATTTGCCTTAAACTCTTTACCCAAGAGTGACATGACAGCTCAGTTTTCCCCCTCAACTCCCTCTGTTGAAGGAAAAGAACTAGCAACATACATCTGTGAAGTATTTTGTATAATAATTTATTTTTAATAATTTATTTTAAAATGTTAATAATTTGTCACAGATTATATCAGCCTCCTCATGATATATTAGCAGGAGGATTTTGCTTACAAAGCTACATAATATCCCCAAACTCTGAAGAGTGGCACGACTATCCCAAGAGGCAGGACACGGATGGAACGGACGCACCTGTTCCCATAGGGATACGCTTCTCTCTTTTGGTAAGGGTTGTGTTCAGCATCATACCAATACCTCTGGTCATAACTCCTAGGATCTCTGTATCTGGGGTCATATGCTGAGGAAAAACGCTCCCAACGACTTGGATCTTTGGAAGACAAAAATAAATAGTTTAGCTATTTGAAGACATTACTTATAAATTTTCTCAACTCCTTCCTCTTCAGTTACACTCAGTAGGTCTTAAAGAATATATCTCTCATCTGTCAGATAAACATCACTACTATACATTTAGTTAGACACTCTTTAAGGAGACAGTGCATCAGACAGACCTCCCACAACAACTTGAAAGTTTAGTCAGAATTCCTTTAACAACTCAAGAAAAAAAAATAATCTAACATGTATCTTTGCTGTCAGTCTTTAGAGCAGGCAGATTTTGTTCAAAACTCTCTCTGGCACTATCCAAGCAATTCTCAGAGAAAGATACTGGCTGGTAATCTGAAGGGATTCAGATAACCATGGACAAGGCCAAACTATGGACAAGGTCAGTTTCTGTTTACACCCCCCACCTAAATTTTGCAACCTGGTCATAGGTTATAGGCTAAGGATTAAAATCAGAAACACCAGCTGTGGTGTTTCCCAATTAGCATCCCAAATCCCAATTAGCAAAAAGAAAAATGTAAGTTTAATGGTAAGTAAAAAGGCTCCATTTATTTTCTTCTTATTTATGCTGAGCAAAAGCTGGACTGCACAATGTTCAGAATCAGAGTCCTCAGATCAATTTTCAGCCAGCATAACTTTATTTAAGCTGTGGAAAATAATTTTATTAATACAGGAGAAAAAATTGTAATAATGGTGATTTTTAAGTCAGTCTTCCCCATATATATATTTCTAAACCCAAAATTTATTATATAAAAACACAGAGCACTCTTGACACCTTACCTCCGTAATCATATAAGTTAGAGTAGTAGCCTGAATAATAATCACTCCATCCACCTTTTGCATAGTAATCTTCATTATACCCTTGCCTGAAAGAAAGGGCACAGAGTTACTGCACGGAGTTATTCCTCCTGTGATACTCGGATTTTCTCTCTTGAAGCCAGCAGGGGATATGCAGAACTACAGTGCCACAACTAGAGGACCAATTTTAAAATAATGCATTTAGAGGAAATCTAGGAATCATAAAATTAGACCTCCCAAACCTACACATGATTAAATTGCTCGGTGCCATCAGAAGCTGACAGCTGTTATTACACAATAGTTTGGTAGCTTTTGTGACAAATCCAGTTACTTATGGACAATTAAACACAAAAACTACTGCTGTAACTAGCATCCTTTGAATGGTCTCAAAAGCCAGTTACTTAATAGGCAATGAAGTAATTGCTCCCTCAACTTTGGGCCTTTATTACACGTCATTTTTGGGAAGCCATCGTACATTTTCTGAAAGAAAGCACCAAGAGGAATGATAGGTACACAGCAAGACGTAGTGCGAGTGCAGACACATAAACACCCTTCTGTGTGTGCACAGGAGGGAAAGATTAAATGACAGTGTTGAATGACAGAAGCTTCCAGGCTCTTCTATGATAAACTGAACATACAATGAACAGCACAAACCCCAACGTGGTCAAGCAAGTCGAGCGACACCCTCCACTGAAAGGGCACGTAGAAAGCTCAGTAATGTGACGCCTACTTTTGCAAAGGAGGAGACTTGATCTTATCATGAGGAGTTTATGCACCCATCTTCTCTGCCCCCTTCAGAAGGATGTTATTCCTCTCCCCACTGCCCTAATTCTCCCAAATATCAAGCTGCATCAATCCTGAAATATTATGTGAAAGTTTCAGGCAAACACTATCGCACCAGCTCTTTCACTCTTGGACTCTGCTGCCCTGCAGTGTCATGGCACAGGCCACATTTTAAACTCAAAGCACAGCATTCCCCGAGTGCTATCTTAGTACAACTAGAAATCATTAACTCATCTCATTACAAGACATCACAGTGCACTTAGATTCACTTAAGATGATGATAAAGTCACCACATTGAGTCATTGTTTTGCACTTCTCAAGGCCAAAACTTCCTATAATCTTTCCAGAGATGGTAAACATAATTTTATTCTCAGTTTCTGTCTTTTGAGAATATAAAACACCATATATTAGAAGGCCATGCACACTGTTATGCTTGCAAAACAAGTTCCAGACCAATGTACAAAAGTGCCTTTTACTAACATAACTAGGGACTGCTGTTTAAGTGTTAGTTAGAAACTAAATTAATACCAGCTAAGAGAACCATGCCCTATATTTCTCTTTCACCCCACACAGGCAGAAGAACTAAACAGCCTTTTCTGCCTGGAAGGAAAGCTAACAGTCACATAAAGAACTGAATGAAAGGAGGGTTTCAGCAATAGAAAAGACTGCCAGAATTGTAGCAGGATCCTTTCTGGGAGGGCATTTGATACTCCACGTTCCTACAGCGACACACGATGAGTTCTTGAGCTCCTTCACTGTGCCTTATGTTATAAAGCTTCACCTGGAGTAATTACAGGCTGAACTTGAGGACATGCAAACTCTGCATTCCGTGCTAGGAGTGCGTACCTGGAAGAAGGGCGGTCAGAGCAGTGACTGGCTCTGGAACTAGGACGCTCGGGCTCAGGATACCGGTAGCTCCCAGCCTCTGGGAATGCAGCACTGCTGCTATCATAGTGCCTGTACCGCGGGTCATACTGCCCATAGCTGTCCTCCTACGGAAGGGAGAGGGACACGTGAGGAAAGAGACTTCCTACCTCCAAAAATAAAAATTAAACCAGCAGTAAAGCTTCTTTCAAGACCAATTCCAGACTTCTTCCCCCTTAACACAAGCAAATCCGGTTATCTGCAGAGATGGAGCTTTATAGACTGAAGCTTTTGGTACCCCTCGGGGCAATACAGCCCCTTGTGCATAGATTTAGGTCCATCAATAGCCAAAACTTAAGAAAAATACATGCACAGAACTTCTGAATTAAAAGCAAATCAGCCACTACATTGGCCACTCTATAAACTGCCAGTAATTCAGGCAGAAGGTGAGAACCATGTTCAAACACCCACACAGCTAAGATAGTTAAAACTGCCAAATTTTTTCCAAAATTGGCAATAAAAATGCTGTAAGTTGACATCTGTGCCAAATGGAATTGATATTAGTAACCACATTACATTTTAAGTATCTCTGCAAAATAAATTTAAGATCCTCCTCACACCTCTCAGGTCAATCCTTGTAACTGAGGGTTATCACATTGCTGGTTCAGCTTTATGATACTTGATAGATATTGTAGGTTATTGGATTCAACAAGAGGCAGCAAGGAACTATGACCAAAAAGTCTTCTGCACATTTTCCTGTTATTTTGAATCTTCCTTAAAATTAAATACTTCACGCAAATGCTATGCTGAATGCTGATGAAAACACCACTGTTTAAACCGGTAATTTAAAAGATTAGCATTACTAATACATACTGAGAAGAAGGGGGAAATAAATATTTACCATGTAATAGAGATGAGCTGTGGCTCTGGGGTCTCCAGGAGGGTAAGGTGCTGGGTATGGAGGCTGGTAGGCATCATACGGATGGCGATAGTAGTAATAAGGATTTTGTGGTGGACCAAAGGCACCCTGAGGGGTCTGAGGCGGCGGGGGACGCTGCAGGTCTTGCTGCACACTCAGCACTGCTAGAGAGGTGGCAGAAGCAGCTGTGGAAGATGACTGTGCAGGCACTGCTTGCTTATCGGGATCACATCCCGCTGGGAGCTGGGCTGAGCTGCCCTCTTTGGGATGTGGGTGGCTCCCAGGCACCTGCTCCTCGTGCTGCTGGGGCTCCTGCACCGCTTTAGCCCCCGCTTGGTGGCTTGGGGCTGCTGGGGGCTGCCCGGGTGACGACGGCTGCTGCATCTGAGGCGCTTGCATTTGTGGTGGAGACGGCACCGCTCCCTGTACAGCTCTGTCTGAGACTGCTTGGTACTGGGGGTCTTTTGTCACCTGTTGATAGAAATGCTGTTTGTCATGCACTTCGGGACCCACCTGTCCGGCACTGCCAGCTGGCTCTTGAGGATACCCCGGCCCACTGGGAAGCGATTGATTATGCACGTGAACAGAATTATTCGCACTGCCTTTCTCCAGCGTCCGCGGTGCTGTGAAGTCATGCACACCAGCAGCTTGTTCTTTGCTATTTGAATGATTTGTGGAATTATTAGCCTGTGCTACAGAACTAACAGGTGGGACTAGTGCACTTGCACTTCCACTCGGGTGATTTGTCCCTGGAGAAACAGCTGAGTGAGTCCCTGGTTTGCTAGCGAATTCAGGAACAAAGCCTTCAGAATGAACATTCAATTGACTGTCTGCAGTCAAATTAAGCGGAGTTTGCATCAGCAATTTTGCAGGATGATTAGAGGCAATATCAGAGGAATTAACAGGACTTTGCAATAAATTATGGTTTAACAGATTAGTATTTGGAAGTGCATTGACTAGCAGAGATCCAGCTTGCATTGCAGGTAATGGCACATTCTCCCCAGAGATGATCCCACCAGCATGTGAAGGCTGGGGACCCAGTGCAGGCCTGTCCCCAACCCCAGAATCCTTCATTGGCTGATTGTTTTCATTTCTGTTTAGCTGATTAGATAAAGAAATAGAAAAATTAATTGGCTGAGCTAAGTTATAGCTTTGATTAGGCTGAGCAATGAGGATAGGCTGATTTTGCAAAGACTCTGTAGGTGGAGAAGACAATAAACTTGCATAACCAGAACTTGCCTGAGACTGAAGTGCCTCCTCTTCTCCCATTTTGGGAGGATTCTCAAGATTTTCGGAAGATATATTTCCATCTTGGGAAAGATGCACAGCAATAGTTCCTGGTTTATTTGGTTGCTGATTAGACAGGCCTTCTTCTGGCGGCTGAATGACTTCTATGGTTTGCCTGGCAGGTACATACACTGCAGGAGCAGCAGGAGCTAGAAGAACATTTCCCCCAAAATTAGGTAACTCATTATGAGCCCACAAAGTTGTTGCTGGGCTGTCACACTTCTTAACCACTCCCTGAGCTCTTGTTGAGGACCTTCTCTCAGGCAATGACTGTATGTTTTCCATACCAGATCCAGAATGCAAGGTATTTCCAGCTTCATCTGTGACTGCATGAGGCAGGGGGTGTACCTGAGGCATGAAAATGGTTTCCAGATTATCCGGTGGCTGTTCAAGATTGCCTGGGGAGGCAGTCGGCATAGCTGTATTTTTCTTGGTATTCTTTTGGTTTGGATGGTTCTCTCTTAATTCAACCACCATCTTTGCCTGGTCGATCTCTGCAGGTTTTATCCCAACTCCATGGGACCTCACAGGTTCAAAAGAACTATTTGCACTTGTCTGGAATACTCCGGTAGGCTTAGGAGGGCTGGGAGTTGGAGGCTGGGAGAGACTACCATGGTAGTTCTTGCTCATGTTTAGCTCGCTTGAATCCCCTCCCAGAGGAGAAGAGTCAATCTGTTTAAAGAAGCTCGCAGAAGCTTCTTCATCAGGCTTCCCACTT